GGATATTTCCATGCGGCTTACAAACCGTACTATTGGATATTTCCATGCGGCTTACAAACCGTACTATTTGATATTTCCATGCGGCGTACAAACCGTACTATTTGATATTTCCATGCGGCGTACAAACCGTACTATTTGATATTTCCATGCGACCTACAAACCGTACTATTTGATATTTCCATGCGGCTTACAAACCGTACTAGTTGATATTTCCATGTGGCTTACAAACCGTACTAGTTGATATTTCCATGTGACTTACAAACCGTACTAGTTGATATTTCCATGTGACTTACAAACCGTACTAGTTGATATTTCTATGTGGCTTACAAACCGTACTAGTTGATATTTCCATGTGACTTACAAACCGTACTAGTTGATATTTCTATGTGGCTTACAAACCGTACTAGTTGATATTTCTATGTGGCTTACAACTGTACTATTTTGTTCTAACTTTATATACTCTTTTGGTTTCCAGGAATGAAACAAATGCAGCGGAAGTTGAAAATGGTAGACTGCATCCTGGAAGTCCATGATGCAAGAATATCCTTTATCATTAGCTAATTCAGTAACTAAATGAACAATTTTTAAATAGTTTCATTATTTGAAATTTTGCACAGTATTTGGTAAAATAATGTATGCCCTCTTTCTCTGCATAGAAGCTTAAACACTTTATTTAGCTTCATTTTATTTTCTTAACTCAAACCATGAGAGTTGATTGGAAAGTTTTTTTTGCTTATATTTCTTGTATAGGATAATACAAGTCAAGGATAATATTGATCTCCTAAATAATTCCAGTGTTAATATTATAGTGGTGAAATTCTAAACTTTTTTAATAGTGGTTTATAATGATAAACAGAGAACAGATTCTATGATTGATTAATATTTTTCAAAGTGGAAGGGAACTTTCCTTAAAGTCTATATTTTTGTTAAATAAAATTAGCTTCAGAAAAGCATTGAAATGTTTTTCTGGAATTGAGGGGTAACTGGAAGTGCTTGACATACTTAGCATTGCACACAAGGGGAATAAATGTAGGGGGCCCAATTAATTTTTATGAAGGGGTGGGCCCATCTTTTGTCGTTACCCTACTGTTCTGGGTTATTTAAAAATTACTTTGAATTAAGAGTAAGTAGAGTATTGTAACCGTACAAGACTGGCGAGATCTGATTTGGTGTATTGGGTACTTTTGGACATAGGAGGACACAGAATGACACCTGGTTCAAGAAATTTAAACTGTGATAAAAGGCTTAAAGATTTAAACTCATTTTTTTTAGCAGATCTATAGGTGACTTTACTTAGTAATTTTAAATTTTTAGGAGGTTGGACAAACTGCATGCGAGTAGTATTTCTAAGTAATATGATGAAAAAATTGGAAATGTATGGTCAACATTAGAAACTTTGATGCAGACTTACTCTTTAGTTGAATCATCAGTTAGAAATGGTTGTTGTGATGAGTGCTATTAGCTTAGATTCCTTTAAACGTTTTTTGAATAGGTAAAAGATGTAAAAGGCTACATTTCTTCTTGTTCTAATGCTTTGATTGCTGCTGGTGGATGGAGGGGTGATCTAGTGGGCTAAGTAGGTTTCTGTTATCTTGCACTTCTATATACTCTTATTAATTGAGAAACATATACAAGAACATTAAACTGTAATTCTGTATTGTTTGAATGATTCCTTACGGAAACATAATAATGATGTCTCATTTTGAGTCATTGGCCTTTGTTCTTATGTTCTGTGCTCAACTAGAAATTTAGTGTTAGGACCTTTGCTCTTTTTTGAGTTATATCAGTGACATGGATGAAGGAATTGTCAATAACTTCTTTATATTTTCTGATAATATTAAGATTTTGGGTGATGTTAGTTGTGAGGATACTGCTGCTTTGCAAGGGATACTTGGTGAGTTGAGCAACTAAATGTCAGATGGCTTTTGATTATAATAAATGCAAGGTCATCAAAATGTTGTAAGTTATATATTTTTAATTTTGTAACTTATTTGAAGCTAAAGTTTAATAAGGTAGGCCTAGAACACCTAGAAAGTTCTAAAAATTTGGTCAAGTTTTCTAGTAAATTCAAGGGTAGATTATAAAAAAAAAGAGGTTCAGAGAGTTGTTTCTAGCTAATAGAGTGAATAAGTGTTTTTAGGGAAGTTTTTGGATCTGTGTTAGCTATCATGCATATTGAATTACCTTGTACAAGTAAGTAGATGTTTTTTTTTACAGTAGTGTTGTAGAATGGCTGTAAACATGGTCTACATTTTATCACAGTGTTTAAACTGTAGAAGCATTAAAGGAGGAAATAAACTTAGACTGAATGTTGAATTATTTTCAACAGGTAATCTAAAAGAACCTGCCCCAAAAAAGAGCAATGTTAAACAATAATGTAAATTATAAGAATAATGTTGATTGGAATAATCTTAACAATGTTATGGAAAAAAAGAATCTTGGTGTTTGGGGTGATCAGTATCCTGTTGCTAGGGCAAATAGGATCTTAGGCTGTATTTACAGAAATATTGAACATAAGTCTAAAGAGCCTATAATTTCTTTGTATACATCAATGGTTAGGCCTTGGAGTATTGTGTTGAGCCTTGGACTTCTTACCTAAGGAAGGACATTGGATTGTTGGTTCAAAGGAGAGTTACTAGGATGATACTTGTTACTTGAGATAGAAAAAATCTCATAGGAAATTGTTTTCTCTTGCAGAAAGATGAGTTAGAGGGGATCTGATTGAAGTGTTTTAAAATTGTTAAGGGAATTTATAGTGTTGATACATTATATATATTTTTCTTCTTAACGATGAAAACAGAATAGGGGACACAAATATACAATTTGACAAGGTAGGAGCTATTTTTAGCTATCTACATAGGTTTATTTTTGTAACAGAGCAGTTGTCCTATGAAGTGGGTTACTTACAGATTTGGTAAATCCAGTAAATTTAAGGGAGTTTAATATAAGGCTTGTGAATATTTAGATAATATGCTTTAGTTTGAGGTATTTTGTTTGTTTGATGTTATGTTTAAATCATATGAATTCAGAGTAAGTTCAGATGTGTCTTTAACTGTATGATAAATTCCATTTAGTGGAAGGAATCCTAACTTCTACCATCTCCTAACAGCTGTTAAACCTCATATTCTGGTGTTAAACAAGGTGGACTTAGCAGATGTAACCTCTCAGAAGCAGATAGAACAATCTTTAAAAGAACAAGGCATAAACAAAATAATCTTTACCAACTGCAAAGATCAGAAAGACAGAGGACTAAAAAAGGTTGTTTTTTTAACTTCCACTGCATAATTTTGAATGAGCTAGTTTGTAAGTAATTTTGTTTAGGATGTAATTTTGTGCTGTTCTTTCAACTGGATTCTTAGTATAAGTTAAGACCAAATTATCTATTTTTTCACAATATCACTTGGATCTACTCTTAGTTTCATGTTGGAATGCAGTTTTGTAACTAATATAATGGAGATAAGTAAGAGGACCTCGTAGAGTAATAATAGTATTAATAGACCTTAACTCACTGAGCATAAAAATTAAAGAAATAATTTAAAAACAGTGACTTGTTAACTTTATGTACTGTTACGACAGTGGAAGTCACACGACACTGGGAGCATGTGCACTGTTGTTTCTAGAAGGATCATGACTTATCGAGGAACTCCGCGAATATCCGAGTGTTTGCCAGGCACCCTCTTTTTTAGTATATAAGCCCGGCAAATAAAGCCAGCGAGAGATAGATATGCAGATAGATTGAAGAGATAGATAATTGAGTCAAGCAAACTGTAGGCACTGTAAGTAAATTGTGTGAATCACTGGGATTTATAGTGTGTGTTATAAAGGTTGTTAAATTTAAAGTGACTGTGGAAATTCTGTGTATTACAAAGTTGTATCGGGAAAGAATAAACTAGTTTTAATTAAGAAAGGACTTGTATCGCTGAAGTTCTTCGGAAAGAATTTATACTGGAAATTAACAAACGAGCAGATACGTAACAGTACTAACTACTAATCATGACTTACATGAAAATTCCAGTTTTCTTTTCTTTTTTTGAATTATGACTTTAACATTGTATACACATAAATGTGCTGCCTATATACTTACTTTTAAGTTTCAATAATATTTTTGTACAGAAATTACTGGAAGCTTTTAGGCTTAGCTTTTGAATTGTGAATTGTTTACATCATTCAAACTTTTTATCAAATAAAATTTGTAAAAATTGCTAACAAAAAATTATATTCCACTCAGTTCTTGTTCATGGTTAGATTGGACCAGCTGGTATTCTTTGTGTAATTAAAAGGAAATAAAAAAAACTAAATCGTTTAAGAAAAAAATGTATAACTAATGTTCAATTAGAAATATAAATGTATATTTTAAATGGTCTTTGTTTTTTTTTGGATGATGCTGGATTGGTGCAACCAATTAAATATTACTATTCTCTCTGTTTTTATTTTTGCACAATCTCTGATGTTGTTGTTTTTTTTGTCAAACATAACTGTTCAGAAATTAACCTAAAGAAAGGTATAAAGATCTAAGACCCTTAGAAAACCCTGAAACCAGTTTAAATAGTTTTGGTTTCCCATTTTTAGGATTTTAAGGATCATAATATGCCTAAAAATTCGTATTATTAGCACAAGTTTTATACTGATACAACTTTTCATAGATTCTGGATTATCCTCTGTTGACAAATTGTTATTATCTGTTTTAAAGACTAGAAACATAGATGATTTTGCCAGCTCTCTGTCTATTTATGAGAAAAAGGAAAGATCTATTATAAAATCAAGAATTACTGGCTAATAAACTGTCTTTTGCCACCAATGGTGGATGGAGGTTGTTTTCACCCCTGTATGTATGTATGTATGTGTGTGTGTGTGTTTGTGAACAAGATTTCTCAAAAATGGCTGAATGGATTCAGACAAAAATTATTATACATTTAGACTATGACCCAACTTAGAAGTGATTAGTTTTTGGAGAGTCAAGGCCACAGCAAGGTCATGAAAATCCAAAAAATTCCCTATCTGTTAACATGACTGATTTTTCATACTATTGTTGCTCTGTAACTCAGTCAAAAATGATCCGATTTTGATAAAACTTGGTGGACATATGTAACTATTATTCCTCATTGTCTTGCCAAAAATGGTCCATGTCTGTTGATAATAACTAGCATATGAACACATTTTCATATTTTTTGTGAGCTGAATATGATTAATTTTGTGTGGCAGAAGTATGTGCTCTACTGAGTGCCTCTCTAGTACATTGCTGAATTTATAATTTAAAATTTTTCATTACTCTAATCTTGGAACTTCATGATTGAATGACTATTTTAGACACTTGTAGTTATTTTAATTGATGAAATGTGAATTTATTTTTGTAGAACAGCCTTGAGATGGTTTAGAACACAGGGTGTAGTACAGAGATAAGGTCACAGGTGTTGCCTTGATGAAATGTATTTTATTATTACCAGTTTAAATTTAGTTCTTTGTTTGTTATAATATATACTTATGACTTAAAGCATAGTTTTCCAAGTATAATTTCTAGGAAATAGCCTAGTACTTGTCAACTTACATTTTTCTTGTAATAGCTATGTGTAAATTAAAGCTATAATGACCAAATATAGAGCTGGATGGTTAACCTGATTGATTGATATAATCGATTACCTATGAGCATAAATCACATTGATAAGTACCATGTAAAGTAATTGACTAATCAAAAGTATTATTAAATATATTAATGCCATGAAAACAATCCACCAATCAAAATTAATGTTTCTGATTCTTACTGTTTTTGATTATTCCAACTGTTCAGTAATCAACATATTGCCATTATGCTTGTTTGTTGTTAAGCACAAAGAATACAATGGGCTATCTGTAATTTCTTTTTAGTCATCTCACGAGAATAATTAATTATTTAAATATAATTGATTAGCAAATTTCACTAATCGCTCAGCCGTAAGCAGATGGATGTTTTAGCCAAGTATTTGTGTGTGATTGTCTTGGAGCTAATAAGTGTATGTTAAGTGATAAATTCAGTATCTCTTCAGGACAGCATGGCCGGATGGTTATGGCACTCGACTCGCAATCCTTGGGTCACGTGTTCGAATCCTCGTCACACCAAACATGCTCGTCCTTTCAGCCATGGGGGCATTATAATGTGACAGTCAATCTCACTATTCGTTGGTAAAAGAGTAGCCCAAGAGTCGGCAG